CTAACCCTTACCAGTGCCCCTGTTTTGAGTTCTCTGTACATCTGCCCCCCCAATTCCTTCAGCCTTACGATTCTGCAGTCCAACTTAGAAAATATCAATTTTGTTGATAGTTGGATTGAACAATAAATAAAGGGTTAAAATTGAGGGTAATGATGAGTGTGACTGTGTTGAGATAGTAAGAAATGGTTTATGAGAATAAATGTAGGTGTCACAGTGTGGACTAATCTATTTAGGGACTCAAAGAGGAAATAAATGATGCTTTTGAAATTTACAAAAGGTGATCAAATTGGATGACTAATTATAAGGGATATGTGTTCAGAGTTTTCCCTTTAGACTCAGTTATTTACCTGTCAAGCCATCCTGTCTTGCTCTAGAAGTTGATTGTCCTTCAAATATGAGTAAGAGGACTAGAATAAACAAACCTGACTCCTGGATGTTTATTTGGAAAGAAAAGACCTCAGGGTAATGCTGTGAATTGTCAGTCACATTTACATTCTAATCAGAAAGCTCTAAACTCTCACACAGTTATGATGCCCTGTTGGGAGCTGTACAAGAGAAACTAGCAATTGAATCCCTGTGCTCGAAGACCAAAAAAGTATATAGCTACTCTCATACGTTGTTAATGGGTTTTAAAAGGGTACAACTTATTTTTGGGGAAAAAATAGACCTTATATAAAAATTTAAAATGTATGTGCTCTTTAGCACAGCAATTTTATCTCTACGAATTTATCTTTCATAATATGAGGGTACTTACTGCAGCATTGTTTTTTTGTTTTGTTTTGTTTTTTATAGTTTAAAACGCTCTTGGAATCTTAGTGTTTTGTTTTTCTTTTAAACTTATTTATTTATTTTTGGCTGCGCTGGGTCTTAGTTGCAGCACACGAGATCTTAGTTGCGGCATGCATGTGGGATCCAGTTCCCCCACCAGGGATTGAACCTGGGCCCCGTGCATTGGGAGTGTGGAGTTTTACCCACTGGACCACGAGGGAAGTCCCTGTGGCATTGTTTGAAGTAACAAATAACTGGAAACAACCTAAACGTTTATCAGTAGGTGATTGAAAATATTATATACCTATATAAGGAAATATTATTTGGTCTTTAAAAAGAATAAAGTAGATATACTTCTACCTTAATACACAACAATATTCTGGATATATTAAGTGAAAAACATTATTTAGTATACTATAGTATGCAAGAACTGTATAAAACAGGCACAGTCATTCTTATGCTTGTATAGACATAGACTCTCTGGAAGGATACACAAGATATTTCTTCTGAGATTCTTCTGATACAGAAATTTCTTCTGAGGGGGTGGGGTGGGTGGGAGGGCTACATACTTTCTGTTATTGAAAATGGTTTTGAATATTTGCATCAAATGTCTTAACCTGTCATGTGAGACATATTTGCATTTGGCCACATACATTGTTACCTTAAGAACTTGCACTCATTGTTGAGGATTTTTGTGTACATGCTTTGGTACTTGTACTTTTGAACTTGAGGACTCTCTTAATCTTTTGACATGGGAATAAGGAGCAGGATTGAACCACCACCCCTTCCAGGGTAGGGTGCATCCTGGTTGAAGTTTCAGGTAGTTGAAGAAAAACTGAATATAGTTTTAAAAAAGAACATTTAAAAAATCAGAATACTGAAATGCTTAATTATTCTGCCTGAATAAAGCAGAAGGGTCAGAAAGAAGGGGAATTTGATGGAGGACTTGAAAGCATTTTGGAAGTATGAATGTACATGGAAATGAGGAACCGAGGAGGGAGTCCTCAGGGAACTAAAAACATTTTATAAACATTATCTCATCTCTAAATTATACCCTTTTGTAAAAAGTTATTTTCCAGACTTTCAAAAAACAAAGTAAAGAAATTGAAGCCCAGATGATAATTTGTGGTTTCCTAAGTAACATAAGGAGAAAATAGCAAAATGAGGACTAGCGCCTTGTTTTCTTGATTTCCCGCCCAGCCCCATGATTATTCTGAGATCACCTGAACCGTGACATGGGAATAGCACCAAAAACCATTTTAAAAATTCTGTTTGGAACTTGATGTGTAAGAGCATTTGTTTCCAAAGTAAGGTTATATTTTCCCCAGTCTTAGGAGACAATGATGGGAATAGGGGTTGAATACAGCTTTGTACATTGCACTACCATTTCTTTTTTTTACTATGAGTCATTCTGGTTCAGAAAAAGGAAGGATACTAACATTTGCACCGCATTTTACAGCTTTAGAAACTTTTTTCACCTTTATTATTTTCTCATTTTGCAGCTCTTTATGATACAGGTAGTGGTAATGTTTTGTTATTGTTACTAGGCTTTCACTATTAAAGAAAAAATAGGCTCGAGAAAGTTGGGTAATTTGCTTGACACAGCTGGTAAGTGTCAAAACTGGCCTTTACAAAATCAAACTCAGATTTTTTTTTTTCTTTCTACCCAAGTATTAGGTCTTTGAGGTGTATTTGCTTAGCTTTGTGGAAGACCAATTCTGGGTGGGTCATCAATCAAGAAAACATTTGGAAACCTAAAACTTGAAGGGACAGTGGTTGAATAAATAGGTGGTTTAGGGGAGCAGAGGAGGCTCTGACCCTCCTGCATGCAAGCACAGCTGATGTCCTTGTTGTTCTCATGTACTCTGCCAGCCCTTTTCAGAGCAGCTTGTCACCTCAGTTGCTGCACCAGTCTCAGCAGTGGGCTAATTAAAGCGAATGTACTTAACACTAGGCCTGAAGACATGCACCAGATTGATGTTAGGAGAGCTATTTTTGTAGTTAATCATACATAAATGAGTAAAATGACTTTTTGTAAAAAATATTGGTGAAGTTTATTTCTCACACTAAATTTTGGTAAAGGATGAGAAGGAGCAGGAAAATGAAATAAGCTTCCAGCTTGGTAAGCATAATGACCTTTTCTACGTTTTCACATTTTAGAGATGCTGGGAGAGAATTCGGCATTTAACACATTATCTGATTAAACTGAAGAAGAGTTTCCACACTCTAGTGTGGGTCCGGACCCTGTGTCTAATATTGACTTTGGGGTTTACTCTGAGTGCAGTGGAAAGCCACTGAATGGCTTTAAGCAGAGGAGTAACATCATCCGATTAGTGTTTGTAAAGAGATCCTGGGCTGCTGAGTAGAGATATCTGGCAGGGAGAGGGACCAAGGTTAGAGTTGAGGAGCATCACTTTACTCTAAATAAACACCTGAGAGACTTCCATGTAAATGAGAATACCATCATCTTAAAGTGAAAAATACCTGTCATTTGAATTGGATATTTGGGTTGACTAGTAAGTAGATTCTTAGTTTCTCTCAGGATTCTCAATATTTTTTGAAAACTCCTCAGGTGATTATAAAATGCAGCCAGGGTTAAGAACTACTGCTTTATCTTGGGGAAAAAAGCAGAGATCTTGGGGCTAAGCTTGGGAGAAGGGTGTTAAAAGTGAAAAGCTTTGGAGAGCTTGGAAAGTATAACTATTGTTTATCTGTTTTCTTTGGAATTTAATTTTCAAATTCGTATGTTCAAATGTCTGAATGCTAACGGTAGTATGAATTTAGTAACATTAAACTTTAGATAATTCCTACTTATCCAGCCTCTTCTAATTCATTCTTTCCCTATCTGTTGCTTTTCATAAGAAGAGCAGGGGAGTATTGAGAATGGATGACTAGAATATAATACAATTTGATAAGAATTTGCCAGCATTGGGGCTTCCTTGGTGGCGCAGTGGTTAAGAATCTGCCTACCGATGCAGGGCACAAGGGTTCAAGCCCTGGTCCAGGAAGATCCCACGTGCCGTGGGGCAACTAAGCCCGTGAGCCACAACTAGTGAGCCCGTGCGCCTAGAGCCCATGGTCTGCGGCAAGAGAAGCCACTTCAATGAGAAGCCCACACACCGCAACGAAGAGTAGACCCCGCTCTCTGCATCTAGAGAAAGCCTGCACACAGCAACGAAGACCCAACGAAGCCATAAATGAATGAATGAATGAATGAGTGAATAAATAAATAAATTTATATATAAAAAAGGGGCTATCCGTTTGAACATCTCTTTAAAGAAAAAAAAGCATTTGCCAGCATTAACAGAAGAATCCGTCTCTTAAAAACTCTTAAAACCATTTCTAAGATGAGTTTCCATTGATTCATTTAAAAAATATGTTTCTTTGTGTATACATACACACATTTAGAAATTTGAGCAACCATATTAATGTCTAGCTACTTATCTGCATACCTGGGATTCTGGATTAAGATTGCTGTTGCTTCCTGTAATTGGATAGAAGCACATGTAGCTTTTCTTTCTTGCTCTAGGATTTTTGTGCTTTATTGATATAAAATTATATCTTTATGTTTTTATACAAAGGAAACAAATTATTTGTATTAGGATGAGAGACTTAGAATAGGGGTAAAAAGGAATACAATGACTGAAGATTATCACAGAAGTACTTTTTTTTGTTTGTTTTAAATATTTATTTATTTATTTATTTGGCTTCACCGGGTCTTAGTTGTGGCACACAGGATCTTCGCTGTGGCGTGTGGGATCTTCATTGCGGCCCTTGGGATCTTTAGTTGTGGCACATGGGCTCTTAGTTGCGGCACGTGGGATCTAGTTCCCTGACCAGGGATCAAACCCAGGCCCCCACACTGGGAGCACAGAGTCTTAACCACTGGACCACCAGAGAAGTCCCCAGTACTTTTTTGTTTTTATAGATTACTGAATCAGTAATTTATTGTTAGATTAGTTAGTTGGATTAGTTATAGCTAAAAATTCTTTTTCTCCTTTGGAGTTACAGTAGGGAATGTAGAAAAGGTTTGTAGGAGTTTTGGGTAATCAAACACAGTAGTTACAAAGTGATGTTGCCGGGATTTAATGTAGCTGATACAATTTAGGGTTGTTTATTTGTGGACTTTTAGGATCACTGCTGTTATTTTATGCAGTAATATAGTATAGTAGACTCTATTGAAAGTCATGCCTTAAACACTGATGTGCCTTTTTCTTCTTTTCTATTCATAGTGGTAGTCGCTCCTCTAAAACGTTTAAACCAAAGAAGAACATACCAGAGGGTTCTCACCAGTATGAGCTCTTAAAGCATGCAGAGGCCACACTGGGCAGTGGAAACCTCCGGATGGCTGTCATGCTTCCTGAGGGGGAAGATCTAAATGAGTGGGTTGCAGTGAACAGTAAGTAGCCTTTCTGTTTCTCAGTAGACTGTAAATTAGGTTAGTAGCCTCACTGTAGGTGAGTGTTGGGGTGCTCTCTATTCTAGGATTTAGTTAGCAACCTAATACCACAAGATAGTGGTACCTCAATTTACTTTAACCTTTATGGTATTTTATTTCTGAATATGGAATTACATGAAATTCTTATCTCCTGTTACCATGTAATACAAAGCATAGATTTACCATCTTCATTGGAAAAAATGATAATGATAGCAGCAATTAATGTTTATGGAACACTGTGACACTCTGCTATTCTTTCTACATGAATTATTTTTATTTATTTATTTTATTGAAGTTTATTTGATTTATGGTATTAGTTTCAGATATATAACATAGTGATTCAATATTTTTAGATTATACTCCATTTAAAGTTATTACAAGGGGGCTTGAGAGTCCTCTTGAGAGTCCGCCTGCCGATGCAGGGGACACGGGTTCGTGCCCCAGTCTGGGAAGATCCCACATGCCGCAGAGCGGCTGGGCCCGTGAGCCATGGCCGCTGAGCCTGTGCGTCCGGAGCCTGTGCTCCACAACGGGAGAGGCCACAACAGTGAGAGGCCCGCATACTGCCAAAAAAATAACAAAATAAAGTTATTACAATATAATGGCTATATTTCCCTGTGTTGTACCTTTGTGGCTTATTTATTTGATACTTGCTGATTTGTACCTCTTAATCCCCTACCTCTGTCTTGCTCCTCCTCCATTCTCTCTCCCCACTGGTAACTACTTGTTTGTTCTCTATATCTGTGAGTCTATTTCTGTTTTGTTATATTCATTCATTTTATTTTTTAGATCCCACATGTAAATGATATCATACAGTATTTGTCTTTCTGTGTTTGACTTAAGCATTAATACCTTCCAGGTCCATCCATGTAGTTGCAAATGGTAAAATTTCATTCTTTTTTATGGCTGAGTAATATTCCTGTGTGTGTGTGTGTGTGTGTGTGTGTGTGTGTGATAAAGAAGATGTGGTGTTTATATATATGTATATATACATACACACACACACACACACCATTATCCATTTATCTGTTTATGGACGCTTAGGTTGCTTCCATATCTTGGCTATTAGCCTCCATATGCTGCTATGAACATTGGGGTACATGTATCTTTTCAAATTATTGTTTTTATTTTCTTCTACATGGATTATTTTATTTCATCTTTACAACCTCATGATGTAGGTACTATTATTATCCCAGTATATAGATAAGAAAGCTGAGACAGAAAGATTGTAGTAATGTGCTTAGGTTATACAGCTATTGAATGCTAGAGCCTGGGCTCAAATATAGAGCTCTAAAATTTCAGAGACTGCGCTTTAACCCCTATGCTAAATTGCCTCTTTCAGTAGCATACTTAGTTATTTGTCTAAACTACGCTTTAAAAAGAAAAAAAGACAATTCAATAGTGATCTTATGAAATTAGTAAAATATGTTTATGATATATTCTTAACCTCTAGAAAGAAAAAAATATAAGTAAAAAGTAAATATATTCTTGGGAATTAAGCCAGAGTAAGTTGGGGAATAAAAGTGGTACTTTAAAAAAAAATTTTTTTTAAATTTTATTTTGATTCTTTTCTCTCTTTCTTTTTTTAAAATTAATTTATTAATTTATTTTTGGCTGCGTTGGGTCTTCGTTGTTGTGCGCGGGCTTCCTCTAGTTGCAGAGAGAGGGGGCTACTCTTCGTTGTGGTGCATGGGCTTCTCATTGCGGTGGCTTCTCTTGCTGAGGAGCACAGGCTCTAGGCGCGCGGGCTTCAGTGGTTGTGGCTCACCGGCTCTAGAGCACAGGCTCAGCAGTTGTGGTGCATGGGCTTAGTTGCTCAATGGCATGTTGGATCTTCCTGGACCAGGGCTTGAACCTGTGTCCTCTGTATTGGCAGGCGGATTCTTAACCACTGTGCCACCAGGGAAGCCCAAAAGTGGTACTTTTAGTATTGAAGGTTTATCAGCATTGGTGAAGAAATTAATAGAATTTTATAACTGGAGGAAATTTATATGACTCTAGTTATAATAAATGAAATTGAATTGAAAATATACACTAAATGCCTAGGCTTTGATTAAGGAAAAACAGAGCAGTATTTTTATTGTAATATTTGATAGTATCTTATTGTAATTTGAAACATATCATGGGATTTATAAATTGAGCTGCCACCCACTAACTTTTAGGAACCTAAAGTATTTTACTGAGATGTCTTAAAACCTTACTGTGACAGCAGTTCTGTAAGAGCAGTATTATTAGAGTATGGTTATCCTCCTGGACCCAGAGAGTTTAGTTACTAAAGAGATAAAGTGATTTGTTTGCTTTATTGATGAGAGTCATCTAACCTATAAGATAGTTCTATGACACTTTAAGGAAAATATTCAGAATAAGTTTCCAATATATGTGTACATCCTTTTTTTGGGCACTTGTTTGTGCCTTTTTGTACCATTTGTTTGAGAGCTCATTTTCTAATTTTAGAAATCTAAGGAAGGTAGTGTAGAGCTTCTGTACTACATGAGATTGTGACTTTTAAGTATAAAACCAGATCATTGTTTTCTGTCTGTATTTTCTCTGTCTCAATTATCAGAACTGAGTGTCTGTACTATTGAAATGTCTAGAACTTCAGGAACTTATAAAATTTCACAGACATTTTGAAGTTATAGCCAGAAAAAAATTGCTTTGAACTGAAGTGTTTGAACATCCCCGTAGAACATAGAATTCTGCCTTTAAAATATAGCAGTTGACTGAAGTATTGGATTACAATTTTTTTCTTATTTATAGTAATCTTTCCAAGTGGCACTTGATGAAGTGAATAGGATTTGAGGCTAGATAGGTAATTTCCATTCACTGACAGTGATTAAGTAAACATTTCGGGTACATAAAAGAGTGAAGGGGATTTGTTGATAAGATTGGCATCTTAATGGCCTTTTTCCTTCAGTTTACTTGCCAGATGAAGATAAATGGTAGAAGATGGGAATTACAAATTCAACAACTAGTCTCATAGCCAGAAACCAGAGGCTGGTTTTGAACATTCTGCTGCTAGAGAGTGATAGCTTAAAGGAGATACAACGTTCAGAGTTTTGGAAAAAGTGGGTGGATGGCTTATAGTTAATTTTTGTGGCACAGAATCTTGAGGCCATATCTTCATTTGTGGAAGAAAACTAACAATTACTAAATGTCTACTTTATGGTAGACACGATTTTGTTTTTTAGCACTCTGCAGTAAACTGAATTTTAAAGGTAGGAAACTGAGATTCAGGGAAGTTAAGTAACTCAACTATTAAGTATAGAGTTGGGATTCAAAGCCATAGGTTACCCACTGTTCATGTGGAGGACAACCCGATTAAAAATGGGCAGAAGACCTAAATAGACATTTTCCCAAAGAAGACATACAGATGGCCAACAGGCACATGAAAAGATGCTCAGCATCACTATTCATCAGAGAAATACAAATCAGAACCACAATGAGATATCACCTCATACCTGTCAGAATGGCTCTCATCAAAAAGATCACAAATAACAAATGTTGGTAAGGATGTGGAGAAAAGGAAACCCTACAGTGCACTCTTGGTGGGGATGTAAATTGGTGCAGCCACTATGGAAAACAATATGGAGGTTTCCCTAAAATTAAAACTAGAAATACCATATGATCCAGCAATTCTACTGCTGGATGTATATTTTAAGAAAATGAAAACATTAATTTGAAAAGATACATGCACCCCAGTGTTCATAGCAGCATATGGAAGCTAACAGCCAAGATATGGAAGCAACCTAAGTGTACATCAACAGATGAATGGATAAAGAAGATGTGGTGTACACACACACACACACACACACACACACACACACACACACACAGGAATATTACTGAGCCATAAAAAAGAATGAAATTTGCCATTTGCAACAACATGGATGAACCTGGAGGGTATTATGCTTAGGGAAATAAATCAGAGAAAGACAAATATTTTATGTTATCACTTATATGTGGAATCTAAAAAAAAAAAGAAGAATGAATATAACAAAACAGAAACAGACTCACAGATACAGAATAAACTAGTAGTTACCAGTAGGGAGAGGGTAGGTGGGAGGGGTAAGATAGGAGTAAGGAATTAAGAGGTACAAACCTCTATGTATAAAAGAAATCAGTTACAAAGGTATGTTGTACAGGGACTATAGCCAATATTTTATAATAACTTTAAATGGAGTGTAATCTTTAAAAATATTGAATCACTATGTTGTACACCTGAAACTGATAAAATATTGTAAATCAATTATACTTCAATTTTAAAAGAAAAGAAAAGATAGAAAGAACACCAGTCTTTCTAGAGCTTTTATGTGGAAAGGAGAAAATACTAGTGTTATGAGTTCTCTGTGGACATATAAGAAAGGAAACCAGGTCATCTAACTTATGAACTTAGATGTAAAAATCCTAATAAAAATATTAGCAGATTGAATCTAGCAATACTTAAAAAAATTATAACACATCATGACCAAATTGTTCTTATTCCTAGAATACAAGGTTGGCTTAACACTTGCAAATCAGTTGTAATTCACCGCATTAGCCAAAATAAAGGAAGAGGAAGAAATCGTATGATCATCTCGGTATAAGCAGAAAAAACATTTGGTAAAATTTAAAATCAATTCGTAATAAACTTATGAAATAAAAGTTGAGAACTTTTTTCTGATAAAGCATATCTACAAAAAAGGTAAAGCAAACATCATATTTGATCATGAAATGTTGAAGTTTTTTCTCAGATTAAGAATGAGTTAAGGTTAGCCACCATCACCACTTTCCTGGAGTCTTAGCCAATGCCGTAAGGCAGGAAAAAGAATAAAAGATAATAATAACTGGAAAGGAAGAAACAACATTTATGTTCATAGCCAGCATGAATGAATGTTGAAAAACCAAAAGACCATGATTTTATTACTACACCATCACTATTATTATGAATAGGTAAATTTAATAAACTTGTTGGCTTTGAGGTCAATATAAAAAAATTATGAGTAGAATAAAAATTATAAAAAAACAAAGAATAACAGTTTTCCAGTGAAACATATAGAAAACTATTCCTTTATGACTGGTGCTTTCTGTGCTCTTCTTAAGAAATATTTGCATGCCAAAGTTCATGGACATATTTTTCTATGCTCTTTTAAACTTTATTGTCTTGCCTTTCACATTTAGATGTATGATCCACTTGGAATTGCTTTTCAGGTATTGTGTGAGTGAAGAGTCAAGTTTTATTCTTTTCCATAGAGATAACCAATAGACTCAGAAACTGTCTCACATTTTATTACAGTGTTGCCTTTTTCTAAGTGATCTATAGAAGTTCTTTATATATTCTGAATATAAGATCTTTATTGATTATATGTGTTGCAAATAATTTCTCCCACTCTTGCTTGCCTTTTTATTCTCTTAAGGGAGTCACTTAATAAACAGAAGCTCCTAAATTCAGTGAGGCAAATATTGTTTGTTTGTATTCTTTTCACCTGTTCTTTGTTGAGGAAAGAACACTGATAGAGCTGAGATTCTGCTGGAATAAAAGATTGTTTGAGTAAAACTAAAATTTAACCTTTTACTTATAACTGATGTTTGCTTTGCAGCTGTAGATTTCTTCAATCAGATCAACATGCTTTATGGAACAATTACAGATTTTTGTACAGAAGAAAGTTGTCCAGTGATGTCAGCTGGCCCAAAGTAAGACATGATTCATGATCAGTTCTCATTTTTACTTTATTATATAATTCTTAGATAAGAAGAAAATTTTTGACCTTATAATTTCTGTATTTAGCATCTCCTTCAGTGATTTACCAATGACTAATATTTTGAGTCCAGATTCCTTAGCCTGAGCTTTATAGTCCTCCCTATTGTATTGTCCTCCATCCTGCCTTTTTTCTGTTTGCTTATGCCTCTCTATCCAAATATTTTTTTAAAATCGAAATATAGTTGATATACAATATTATGTTAGTTTCAGGTGTATTGCATAGTGATTTGACATTTCCATACATTATGAAATGATCATCATGATAAGTCTACTAACCATCTGTTCCCATACAAAGTTATTACAGTGTTATTGACCATACTCCTTATGTTGAATATTATATTCCCATGACTTATTTATTTTATAATTGGAGGTTTGTATCTTTAAATATCTTTCACCTATTTTGCTCTATTCCCACCCCGCTGCCCTCTGGCAACCACCCCTCTGTGTGCTGTATCTGTGTTTGTTTTCTAGATTTCACATGTAAATGAGATCATATGGTGTTTGTTTTATTCTGCCTGACTTATTTTACTTAGTGTAATACCCTCTAGATCCATCCGTGTTGTCGCAAAGGGCAAGATTTCTTTACCTTTTTTATGGCTAAGTAATATTCCGTTGTGTGTGTGTGTGTGTGTGTGTGTGTGTGTGTGTGTGTGTGTGTACACACACACACACACACACACACACCCCACATCTTCTTCATTCATCTGTTGATGGACACTTAAATTACTTTCATATTTTAGGTACTGAAAATAATGCTGCAATGAAAAACGGGTTGCATATGTCTTTTCAAATTAATGTTTTTGTTTTCTTTGGGTAAATACCCAGAAAAGAAATTGCTGGATCTTATGGCAGTTCTATTTTGAAGAACCTCTATACTTTTCTCCATACTGGGTGCACCAATTTGCAATTCCACCAACAGTGCATGACGGTTCCCTTTTGGTCACATCCTTGCCAGTACTTGTTATTTGTTGTCTTTTTGATAATAGCCATTCTAAGAGGTGTGAGAAGTATCTCATTGTGGTTTTAATTTGCATTTCCTTCATGATTGGTGAGGTTGAGCATCTTTTCATGTGTCTCTTGGCCATGTGTATGTCTTTGGGAAAAATGTCTATTCAGGTCCTCACCCGTTTTTTAATTGGGTTGTTTATTTATTTATGATGTAGAACTGTATGAGTTCTTTGTATATTTTGTATATTAACCCCTTATTGGATATATCACTTGCAAATATCTTCTCCCATTCAGTAGGCTACCTTTTCATTTTGTTGATAGTTTCCATACTGTGCAAAACCTTTTTAGTTTAATGTGGTACCATTTATTTATTTTTGCTTTTATTTCCCTTGCCTGAGAAGACAGATCCAAAAAATATTGCTAAGACTGATTTCAAAGAGTTTTCTCCTAGAAATTTTATGGTTTCAGTTCTTACATTTAAATCTTTAATTTATTTTTATTTTATTTTATTTATTTATTTTTAAAAATATTTGTTATTTGGCTGCTCCAGGTCTTAGTTGTGGCATGCGGGATCTTTGTTGCAGCATGCAGGATCTTTAGTTGTGGCCTGTGGAATCTTTTACTTGTGGCATGTGGGCTCTTCGTTGTGGCATGTGGGATCTAGTTCCCTGACCAGGGCTTGAACCCGGGCCCCCTGCATTGGGAGTGTGGAGTCTTAACCACTGGACCACCAGGGAAGTCCCTCATTTTTATTTTAGCTTATGTTTGTACATGGTGTGAGAAAGTAGTCCAGTTTTATTCTTTTACATATAGCTCTCCAGTTTTCCCAACATCATTTATTGAAAGGGCTGTCTCTTTTCCCCTGTTGTATATTTTTGCTTCCTTTGCAGATTAATTGACCGTTTAAGTGTAAGTTTGTTTCTGGGCTGTCTATATTCTATTCCATTAATCTGTGTTTCTGCTTTTGTGCTTGTACTATACTGTTTTGATTACTATAGCTTTGTAGTATAGCTATAGTATACTATATGTATGTTTGAAATAGGCAGTGTGATACCTTCAGCTTTGTTCTTCTTTCTCAAGATTGCTTTGGCTATTTGGAGTCTTTTATGTTTCTGTACAAATTTCAGAATTAACGTGTTCTAGTTCTGTGAGAAATGCCACTTTATTTTGATAAAGATTGCCTTGAATCTGTAGATGGCCATGGGTAGTATGGTCATTTTAAAAATAATAATTCTTCCAGTCTGTGAGCATGTTATATCTTTCCATATGTTTGTGTGTTTTTCCATTTCTCTCATAAATATCTTAAAGTTTTCAGAGTACAAGTGTTGTACTTTTTTGGTTAGATTTATTCCTAGGTATTTTATTCTTTTTGATGCAGTTGTAAATGGGATTGTTTAAACTTATCTTTCTGATAGTTCACTATTAGTGTGTTGAAATGCAACAGGTTTCTGTGTATTAATTTTGTATCCTGCAACTTTATTGAATTCATTGATGATCTCTAGTAGTTTTCTGGTAGCATCCTTAGGATTTTCTATGTATACTATCATGTTATCTGCAATGACAGTGACAGTTTTACTTCTTCCTTTCCAATCTGGATTCATTTTATTTCCTTTTTTTGTCTGTTTTGGCTAGGACTTCCAATACTATGTTGAATAAAAATGGTGAGAGTGGGCATCTTTGTCTTGTTCCTGATCTTACAGGAAATGCTTTCAGCTTTTCACCATTGAGTATAATGTTGGCTGTGGGTTTGTCATATATGGCCTTATTATGTTGAGTATGTTCCCTCTAAGCCCACTGTTTTGAGAGTTTTTGTTAATCATAAATGGATGTTGAATTTTGTCAAAGGCTTTTTTCTGTATCTGTTGAGATGATAATATGATTTTTATTTTTCAGTTTGTTAATGTGGTGTATCATGTTGATTGACTTGTAGATATTGACCATCCTTGCATCCCTGGGATAAGTCCTGCTTGATCATGGTTTATGATCCTTTTAAAGTATTGTTGGATTTGGTTTGCTAATATTCTGTTGAGGATTTTTGCACCTATGTTCATTGGTGATATTGGCCTGAAATTTTCTTTTTATGTGGTGATTTGTCTGATTTTGGTAAAAGTGATGCTGGCCTCATAGAATGAGTTCAGAAGTTTTCCTTCCTCTTCAATTTTTTGGGAATAGTTTGAGAAACATAGGTAATATAACTCTTTAAATGTTTGGTAGAAGGTAATATAACTCTTTAAATGTTTGGTAGAATTCACCTGTGAAGCTGTTCGGTCCTTGACTTTTGTTTGTTATGAGTTTTTGGGTTTTTTTAAAATTACTGATTCAGTTTCATTATTGGTAATCCATCTGTTCATATTTTCAATTTTTTTCCCAATTCAGTTTTGGGAGATTGCATGTTTCTAGGAATTTATCCATTTCCTCTAGGTTGTCCATTTGACTGGCTATAATTGTTTGTAGTAATCTCTTATGATCATTTGTACTTCTGTGGTATTGTTTGTAACTTCTCTTCTTTTATTTCTGATATTATTTGTTTGGTTTTATCAATTTTGTTTATTTTTTCTGAGAGCCAGCTCTTAGTTTCATTGGTCTTTTCTATTTATTTTATTATTATTATTAGTTTCTATTTCATTTAATTATGCTCTATTCCTCATGATTTCTTCCCTTCTAACTTTGGGTTTTGTTTGTTCCATTTTTCTAGTTACTTTAGGTATAAGCTTAGATTGTTTATTTGAGATTTTTCTTATTTCCTGAGGTAGGCTTGTATTACTATAAAATTCCCTCTTAGAACTGCTTTTGCTGCATCCCATATATTTTGGATCATTATGTTTTTGTCTTCATTTGTCTCCAGGTATTTTTTGATTTCCTCTTTGATTTCTTCAGGGACCCATTGGTTACTGGGTAGCATGTTGTTTAGACCCCACCTGTTAGTATTTTTTGCACTTTTTTTCTTGAAGTGGTTTCTCAGTTACTATTTATTATCGTTATTAACCAAGAAATGAACATTTTGGAATTTGTAGTTTATAAGTTCATACCATGATGACAGAAATAAATTTCAAAGACAATGGTCTGTCAGAGGTGGAATAAAAAAAGCAGTGGGTGCAAAATAGAGTTAGAATATGAAGTCATCATTAAGTATAAATGTGACAAAAGAAAAGGAAAGAATCAGGGAATCATAGTTATAAACTCTAGAAGTATAAGCAATATGCAGTTGTTTTATTTTTCAAAAAACCTTAGGACATTGAATATTAGTATTGTTTATAAAGCTTCAGGATATTGAAAATGATTTTTTGGTTTACTGTGCCTGCTTTTGACTTCTGCATTTAAAAATGAATAGGGAACACCTGAGAATCATTAACAAAATGAAAAACATGATTGTGAGAGAAATGCAAAAACATTGAGGCTTCATAACATAAGGGAAAAAACATGGATGAGTTCCTGTCTTTAAATGAAGACTAAGTAAGGATGGCCAGAAGTCCTACCATTCATGTTCTCTGTCTCCTAAGAGGCTCAAACAAGAAGAGGCTTAAGTCACACTTGAGACTTTTGTTTTATGTTAGGAAGAATATCTTGACTGTGAAAGTGATTAAATAGTAAAACAGGATGCCAAGAAATGTTGGGGAATCTCCTCTTGGAGACCTTCAAAGTAGACTTGACATTCATCCCTGTTTCCCAGGGTTGGTATGCTGTCAGAATATTTATTCAGGTGTATCCTGTTTAAGATTTACTGTTCAAGTGTAAGTAACTATGATTAAATAGAAAGCATCCTTGTTATCCTATCTCAAGATACTTTTCATTGTTTAAAATACCCTGTAGTATTTTTCCATTATATTTTCTTCCAGCTCCTTTGCTAGGCTTAATCACCTATCATTACGTTAGTCCAAACTCTGGGACAAGATTATAAAAACACAATTGATTCAAAGAGAGAAGCTAAGTGGCAGAGGTAACCTTCAGAAACTAAAAAACTAAATGCTAGTTCAGTTTAGATAATTTTGTACATGGAGTTTCAGCTGCATGCTTATTCCTTGTCTTAAAAATCAGGTTGTGTGGGCTTCCCTGGTGGCGCAGTGGTTGGGAGTCTGCCTGCCGATGCAGGGGACATGGGTTCGTGCCTCGGTCTGGGAAGATCCCACATGCCGCGGAGCGGGTGGGCCCGTGAGCCATGGCCCCTGAGCCTGCGCGTCCGGAGCCTGTGCTCCTCAACGGGAGAGGCCACAACAGTGAGAGGCCCGCGTACCGCAAAAAAAAAAAAAAAATCAGGTTGTGGTTGTATGTGTGTGTGTTTGTTTAATTAACTCCATTAGCATTCTGTTGTACTGTTTTTACATACTAATTTACAAGTCTGTCTTCTCTACTAGTCTTTTTCCTTGAGAACAGGGAAAGTGTCTTTCATTTTAGTGTCCGTTGTTCAAGTGTCTTTCATTTTAGTGTCCGTTGTTCAAGAGCAGTATTCCTTGACACAGTATTACTCACATGGTAGGTGCACATTAAATGTTTATTAGACCAAAGGCTAGTGTCTGGTTAATACCTAGATACTATAGGCATCTTTATTTGGGTTGCCAATTTTCCTCAAAGGCATGTTTAGCTCCTCAGCCAAATGTACTCAAATATTGAATCATTCTCTTTTTCATTAATCTTACTTAGGTGCTTCCATGTCATTCTCTAGTCTTAACCCAAAATTTAAAGCCCCAAGTTAAAAAGAATTGTACTGCGTAAGGAGAAACGGTTTTTGAGGAAGAAAACAATAATCATAAAGATTAAAGATGGTCATCATAGAAGTGGGAAGTAAACTTAGGGTTTCTACTATAGCAGTTTATACTATGTGTGATTCTAAAATATAACTGCTATGTATGAAGGAAAGCTCACAAAAAATGGGTTTGGTGGGATCTGCTTAGTTTGTATCCTGATAAATGCAAAATAGTCCAATAGCAATTTTAAAATGCTAAATTTAAGTGCCAAATGCAAAAAATCTTTTTTTGGAGGAAGAGATTAAAATACATCCTGAATACATTCCTAATAAACATATATATGTAATATAAAAACTTACACATTATATATAGATATACACTGATGTTCTGTGTACTTTTTATCTTTCCAATACAGATATGAGTATCATTGGGCAGATGGAACAAACATAAAGAAGCCTATTAAGTGCTCTGCACCAAAGTACATTGATTACCTGATGACTTGGGTTCAGGACCAGTTGGATGATGAGACATTATTTCCATCAAAAATTGGTATAATTGTTTAACTGGGATCCATCATGATTTATCTAATTTCATGCGTTTCTAGGACTTATTGCCTCTCTATTCCAGGAACCATGTTAAATTACCATACCTATCAAAATATTGCTAATCTTATGTACTTGAAAGTGTCTATCTTTTTCATACCAAGTTTATCATGAACATTAGGTAAACCTCCCTATAATTTTAAACAGTAAGAAGATCGGTATATCTTGGATAGTAACAAATCTGGCCTGTGTTAGGGAAAAAAGAGACTGGTCATTGGGTAAGCAGCCAGTATCATCTGCTGCAGTCATATCCATTTCTTGTTTAGGAAGGGAGTCTATATGACTTCAAAACAGTTTTACCTTATATTTGTGGCAAAGAGGGCATTTGTATTCATGACCCACGTGTGAACCTTGCAGGCTGTGAAATCAGGCTAGGTGAGAAGAAAACAAGATTTGACAGGTTGGCCTGTTATCAACTGAGTGACTTTTATATATGCTGACCTTTTAAAGGGCTGACCTTTCAAGTGGAAATTATTTACATTTAGACAGTTCATATGACTTTACTGTGTCAAATTCCTTACAACTGTGTTTTCTGAAAAAATTAAGAATTTGCTCTTTTCAACTTTTTGACTGTATTTTATGCTTTTTTAGTTTTGGGGAGAAGGATATAGTGGAGGAGACAGCAATGTAAATAGTTGCTGTTGTTATGGCTTGTTTTAAACACATTCATTGAATGCTTTAACTACTTTGGAGCCTTTGTAATGAAAGGTCTATTTTTCAAGACTGCATTACTTATATACATAGTAATGGTTTGGGATAAGTGCCCTCATCTTATCTTTTATCTTCATAATATAATTTTTAACTTTTAACCCAATTTCAGGCTTCTAGAAAATTTGTAAGAATTGTGCAAACAATCCCTATGTGTCCTTCTTCCAGATTTTTTAGTTGCCAACATTTTAACACATTTGCTTTCTCTCTCTCTCTCCCTCCTTCCCCACTCCACATTCTTTTCTTTTTCCTGAACTGTTTGAGAGTAAGTTGCAATTATGATGGACCTTTATCTGTATGTGCTTCAATGTGTATTTCCTTAGAAAAATCACAGTATAACTGTCAGAATCAGGAAATTAACACCAGTACAATACTACTGTCTAATTTACAAATCTTATTCAGATTTTTCAAAATTTCCCAATAATATCCTTTAGAGCAAAAGAAAATCTTTGACGTTTGTTTTCATTCAGTGTCATGTCTCTTTAGCCCCCTTTAATGTGGAATATGTGTATTTCTCAGGCTTTTTTGGTCTTTTCATGACACTGACATTTTTGAAGTGTGTAATGTAAGCATACTATTTTATATAGTGTCCCTTCATTTTGGGAGACACTTATGTACCCCAAAATGTCTTATGTTTTCTTGTGATCTATAATGTTTTATAATGTGATCCATAATGTGATCTATAATATTTTTAAATGGGCAGTAGGCAATGTGATGACATTGAACCCAGTAGTACCAGTATTTGCCTTGTGTCATTTGCCTTGTGTAAATCTGGATCATTTAGCCACTTTAACAAAGGATGTAGACTTTTGTATTTTTCTAGTTTTGTATTTACTGCTGTAAAAGTGCTCTAATTCATAAAACAAGTCTAATTGAGCAGAGACTGCAGCTAATTTCAGGGTAAATGTAGACCTGGTGTAGTAATGAAATAATTTCCATAGAAAAAAATCTGAAAATGTATTGCAGGCATTTTAAACAAAACTAAACATAGTGATACATTATTTGTGTTCAGCATAAGAAACCTGAGGATCTGAATATGCATTTTAGCTCCATTACCATCTTAGACATTTGTTTCATTTTGGTAAAGTGGTGGTATATTAGAGGCCTAAAGGGCTAAACTGAAGACAAATTCTTATTCCATAGAAGCATTGAAGTTTATTTTCATTCATGATATTTTGAGAACTTTTGAAAAGTACAATGGGTATTTTAAGTAGTAATTCATAAATACTTATTATTTTCAGCCTTGTCTTGGTAATTTATATTGCCATTTGCTGATAATGCCTTGTTCTCTTCTTGTTAATAGAGGGGGTTGTTTATCTATTTACTAGGTGTCCCGTTTCCGAAGAATTTCATGTCTGTGGCAAAAACTATACTCAAACGCCTCTTTAGGGTTTATGCTCACATTTATCATCAGCATTTTGACCCTGTGATCCAGCTGCAGGAGGAAGCACATCTCAATACATCTTTCAAGCACTTTATTTTTTTTGTCCAGGTAAGTTGGATTAGGAGATCTTTTTTGCTCAGAAAAAGTTATCTACAGAGTTATGAGGTGAATGCTACATCCATACTGTCAGGATAAAATTTGCTATATCTCTCTAGTCTTCATCCTCTTTTTTTTTTTTTGTGGTACGCGGGCCTCTCCCATTGTGGAGCACAGGCTCAGGACGCGCAGGCTCAGCAGCCATGGCTCACGGGCCCAGCCGCTCCGTGGCATGTGGGATCTTCCCAGACCAGGGCACGAACCCATGTCCCCTGCATCGGCAGGCGGACTCTCAACCACTGCGCCACCAGGGGAGCCAGGTCCATTAACTTTTGATCTGAATCCTTAGTTGACCTCCTCTTCCTTCTCTCTTTATTTCTCAGAGAATGGGCCTTAGAGATGTAGACTAAAAGGAGTGAGGCTATTCTTGTCCTGCTATAATAATTAGAGAACTAAAAGGTAGGAGTGAAAAAGAGGTAGAAATGCAGAAGCTGAGCAGCTGTTTTTTGGTGGAGTTTGGAGAAGGGAGATGGTAGGCAGGAGCAGTCCAAAGCTTGAATCTGTGTTGTTTTTGTATATCTGTGGGCATAAACTTATAAATACCTTTCCCATGCCCCATCTCCACAAAGAAAAATGTGTTTATTTTCCCTCTATACACACTCCTCATAATGGGGATACACGTTTTGCATCTTAATTTCACCTATATAAACAAATTTTAGGAGATAGTAACTTGCCAAAACTGTTGCCCTGAGCAATTATTTTACTATGGTATCCCATCTATAGACACCAATAGAAACAAAATGTTATCCTAAAATTTGCATCTGTGCTTTGGTTTAGGCAGAACATGATTGCTTGAGGTTTTAGTGGTTTGGGAGAGGATATTCTCCCACCAGAAGGTTTATTAGTTTTACCTTATTATATGATCTTAAAGTACACTGTATCTCCCAACTCCTAGCAAAATAGTAAGGGATTGATAACGTTGCATTTACCACATCTGAGCCTAGTTACATCTCAGGACACTGTGACCTTCTTAAAGGCGGGTCCATTAGTTATACAGTATTACCGCTTCTTTGAGTGAGAGTGGCCTCTGCCCTGGGCCTCACAATTTAGAAGTTCTGCTCTGGCCCTTGCCCATACTCCTGCATGGAGTGAGAAGTCCATATGGCCAAGAACATACCTACATAGATCCCTTCTGGTATGTGCTTGGATACCTGAGATTCAGAACTCCCTACCCACATGGTCTCAAGTGTATTGCCAGGGTTTGCATGGATCTTTTCCTTTGGTCCGTACTTTTAAGGGAAGGTCATATCTCTGATAGCCAGACCTAAGGGATAGCCAGATGGCAGCTGTTGGTGAGTGTGTGTGGACATTGCCCTTATAAGCTTGTCAGGGTGTCCACACTCCTGCATGTGAGACCCATTGAAATACAGGATGGAGCTGTGGTTTGGTAGATCAGGGAGGTTTGCTGAGGGCCAGGGACTGGCTCTCCTCATGTCACTACTTTCCAATGTAGACTGGGAGTCTTAAGAATTCTAAATTTGAATCTGCTTTCCTGGCTACTATGGTGTGTTTGTTAAGGTAGGAGAATCGAACATATATAACAATATATTAGCTTAATGTAAAATACAGTAATTTAGTCATGTGATATATATCCATTTGTGCTATTGGTCCAGACCCCGCAAGTCTTAGTGGTAGACTTGCTATTGAGTGCCCCTTAATGCCTTCCTAGTACTTACTGCAGTGCTTGGCACGTGATGGATGCTAATAAATGAGTGAAATTGTGACCTCAGAATGCCCCACTGTGGCAGAATATCAAAAGATCAGAAGTATCAACAGCTTTTTTTTTTTTTTTTTTTTTGCGGTACGTGGGCCTCTCGCTGTTGTGGCCTCTCCCGTTGCGGAGCCTGACGCTCAGGCTCAGCGGCCATGGCTCACGGGCCTAGCCGCTCCACGAACAGCCACTTTTTATTAGCCTTATAATTTATAGTTCAGGGGAAATCTATTCATAATCGAATTTCAGAATGACAGTGGTAGAACTTCTAAAGAAGCACAATTTAAATCCAGGCTTTCTTATTTGTTCTTTACAGGATTTACTTATCATTTATGGACTCCACATTATTCATGTTATTCTCATACCACATTATATGGTAGCTTGCAGATACGTTAGTTAATAACATAAACTAACTTTTTTACTCTTCATATAATGCTGAAATTTGCCTGAGATTTTTTTTGATCCCTGCTTGGTTGACTATATCTAAATGGTGCCCTGGTTATTCCTTTTAACAGGAAGCAGCAACTCCCATTTATTGAGCGTTTACTTTGTGCCAGGGATTACATGAAGTGGTTAACATACAGTATCACATTTAGTCCCCATAATAATCTTATGAGGTAATTTACCCTAATATTATTACAGATGTAAAATATAATATCAGAAGTGGTTAAGTGATTTGCGTAAGACACAGAGGTAGGGAATAGAAAAAGTTTTCTTGAAAAAAAGATTTGACTTTTATTTACTTTAAAAGCTAATTTCCAACAAATGTTAATGGAAATCTGTTTTGGAATGAGATGTAAATAATGTTTCTGCTATTTCTTCTGCCTTTGTCATACATAGGAATTCAACCTTATTGACAGAAGAGAACTTGCACCACTCCAGGAACTGATCGAAAAACTCACCTCAAAGGACAGATAAAAGAATGCAGATGTGTGCAAATTATTCCTCAAATGAAGCTGTGTGGAGTGCATTTGGATTTTGTTTTATTTTATTTTTATCTTGGTTGTTTTTATGTTAGGTTTGGGGGGCTTGTTTGGGTTCCTTTTTCTTTATTCTGAATAAATGAAACCGTATACTATGGCTAGAGGAAGGCAAGAACCATTCTCTATTCAGTTGATAGGGGTAAATTTTGTCTTAGTGGCATACAGTATTTTTTCTAACTTGGGGAATTTTTGATAATACTATATGTTGAAAGAAATGCTTATTGATTGGCCTGCCGATGGATGGGGGTTCTCCGTTGTGTAAATTGTGGTTGATTTTTGAAGTCCCCAAAAGTCTTATGTTTTTAAGTGCCTTGGCAGGCTCATTTCTGAGGTGCAAAGCACAGACATAGAACTGAACAGGGCTTGAAACAATATTAGGATTACTACCCAGGGCACTTACTGATGCATGTTTCAAAATACCTATTGATAAAAGCCATAGTTTACCTAAATTGGTGATCTCCAGCTTTTACTACATTAAAGAAACACAGTTTGTAAAGGTGTGCATGTAGAGCATAAAAAATTAGTATTTCTTAATTATTTTTGATATTGATAGTAATTCTGTTCAACAGATGCTTAAAGTTCTACAAGCACGTCTTTTCCATCTCTTGATATCTGTGATATTGAAACTTGAAGATGTTGAAATGTAATACCGGTTACATTTTGGCTTCTTTCTACATGTTATCTGCACTGTAGGTGTAAAAATTCAGGTTATATATAGGTTTGCCATCTTCAGAGATGATGCTGAACTGTGAGGTTTCTTAGCAATTGCCAAATGAGCCATAAATCTGCAGAATCCCCTTCTGCTTTGAAGAGGAGGTGATAGGAGTGTGTGTTTGTTTGCAGGGGGGTTAGTTTGAATGGTGCGTTATAGATGGGATTAAGTACAGGGAGTCAAGTTCAAGAAAGTCCTTTCTCAAAACTCTTGAATAGAATGGCATGAATATTTTAATCAATATCTTGTAAGCAAAGTCTTAGAGACTTCCTTTTAGGAATCAACTTCCATGAGAAGTTAAAAATAAATTACTAATTTTAGATATAGACATAAACATGGAATTTAAGGACTTTGGGGAAATTGATCACTTTACAGCATTTCCATTCAGTGAATGGAGCTGGTGTTTGTCATTTTAAAATGATACAGTACCTTCTTTACTTGTTATAGGCCCAACTTGAAACATTCTGACTTCTGATTTTTCCACTGTGAAAGGAAATCTTTCTTTGCAGTGATATCAGATAATGAAAGTGCTAAAGTAGTAAATAACTTTTACATTTTTTTTTTTTTTTTTCTATGACTTTCTGGTGAGCTATTCCCATAAGTAAAAAGTTCAGAAACTTAGTTTTTTTGTTTTTTTTTTTTTGCGGTACGCGGGCCTCTCACTGTTGCGGCCTCTCCCGTTGCGGAGCACAGGTTCTGGACGCGCAGGCTCAGCGACCATGGCTCACGGGCCCAGCTGCTCCGCGGCACGTGGGATCTTCCCGGACCAGGGCATGAACCCATGTCCCCTGCATTGGCAGGCGGACTCTCAACCACTGCGCCACCAGGGAAGCCCCCAGAAACTTAGTTTTTAAAATAAATGTTAACAGTTTTCACTTCAGTTTTACTCTTGTGAAATATCCTTTTTCGACTTCCAGTTTTAATTTTGTCATTTCTGGTAAATCTGTTTCCTTCAGTTAGAACTATATATTTTTCCTTTGTTAGGAATGTATACCTTTTTCCTTGTAGAATAGAAGTCTTACTCTGAAATTGTATAGACTAAAAACAGTACAAAAGAATCTAAAATGAAATCAGTTTGTTTTTGCCATTAACAAGTAGAATAGTGATACAATTTACTGCCATTACAATTATGATCAGTAGGAACTGCCTTTTTCTCATTTCTAGCAATCATTCTCCAAGTACCAACAGTAGAAAGTAACAGGAGAGCCTGGCAGAAGCAAGTATATTGGACATTCATTGGTCATACTTATTTATAAACTGCAATGAGAACTAGCTGATTTCCTTAAAACAAATCTTTTAGTATCCAAATATATAATATCAGCCACTGTGGGTTGATTCAGAAACAAAATCTGGCCTCTAGTGATTTGGGGTACCATCTATTTAGGAAGATGAAACATATGATTATTCAAATAGTCTTCCAATACTGCATTTGACTTCATATCAACCTAGTAATAAAGGGGTTGCAATAGCCAAGTATGGAGAGACAAGTGAAACATTGTTTTTGCTCATTTAAGCCTTATACAGTAGTACACTGTACAAATGTTATTATAAATTAATGTTTAGTAGTCAGACTTACTTTTCCACTCTATGTAGATAGGAGTTTCTTATCACTGTGCCAGAATCTCAGGTGCCTGCTTCTGAGTATTCCTTTAAACAGAGGTATTGGGAAGTAAGGAAATATGTATGTGTATATATATGGTAACAAAGTAGAGACATTCTCCCAGGGAGAGGCCTGGCATTGTGCATGCTGTTACATGGCTGCAAATAGGGGAACACCAGAGCATGTGAGAAATAACTGACTTAATAAAAAGCTGCTTTGATTCGTTTGGTTCCCAGGAGCATTAGTAAGATGCCTTTTATAAAATAAGGATCAAACCTTGGTTTTACAACATAGTTTGCTTATAAATGTCTATTGGATTCTTTCCAGATTTCTTAATTTGTAAATACCCAGGATAATGATTTCCCCCCCTGCTCTTCATACAGAGATATAAAGCAGAAGTTGGTTTTCTCATCTGCTGATGAAAGCATAAAATATAAAGTAGTAAGTTAACATAGTATTGTCACAAAGCTTTGGTTAAATGTTGATAGGAAGCAAGTTTTAGTAATTCTTTTAAATGACGGTGTAATGGTGGTGGAGAGAAATTAATAACAGAGTGAAAATCTTTCCATTAGCTGTAGGTGGTGCTACTGGCTTTCATTTACTGGCTTGATTATTCTGTTTTCCATAAAAACCATGGCACTAGGCTGCACTAAAACATTAAGTATGTGTTAGCTGGTAGAGGCTTTGGAGGTCAGTTTACCTTAAATTGAAAGATTTTAGATTGCTATCTCTTCCTACCTTTGTCATTTTTAAATGCTAAATGTTCAGCATAAAATTAAGTAGGAAAAGATATGTTTAGTGTATAATATGTCGCAGACTGAGGTACTGCCTGGCTTATCAGGAAAGATAAAGCACTACAATCTCTTATATTCAAGAATGACCGATAATGTGGATATTTATATTTTACATGTAAGCACCACACTGCATTTTATGTATTAGCATTTTCCTTGCTTAGGGGAAAATAGCAAAATGACAGATTTCTTTTATACCTTTGTGTACACCCTCTCTGAGAGAGTTTTTGATAACCACTGAAATGGTAAAATATGTGAGATAAAATTAAGTTGTAGGACTTCCTTTTAAGATAAATATGTCATACCTTGAACATCTCAAATGAGAGTTGATCTTCAGAGTAGTTTCTTTGGGAGCACTACTTATTCCAGCTATGCTGCAAAGGTGTAATGTTTCTAGAACACTTTCAGCGATGCCTTGAGAATTGGTTTGTGACTATGCAAGAAAATCTGTTTTATCATTTCAGTTGCACTGAAAACTTTTCTGGAAGCTTAATATGACCTATCTCATTCACCAAAACAACTCTACCTTGGCTGTTTTCTTAGAACTAAACTATTAAGGAAGTTCAAAAGAATATGCCATAGGCTCTGAATTTGCAGAACAGAATGTTTTGAGCACTGATTTGTAGCATCATTTAATAAAAAAATAGTTTCCTGATGTCACTGCTTTGAAGTAGGCAGTATTGTTTGGATGTACAAGTTTTATTTTTTTAATTTAGTTTAATTACCTTACAGTTAAATATAATAGTTTAAAAAACCAAAGTCCTTTTCTTATTTTCTATTTTTGGTCCATTTTCCTGATAACTTTTGGATTATATCTTGAGTACTGTAGGGTAGTTTTGATTGAAGGTATATTAAAAATAAAAATGGATCCAATATTTAAGATAGAAGTAGCTTAAGGAAGCAGCAGGCTTTACCTCCATGCTTTTTTTTTTAAACTTATTTTCACGCAAATGAACAATTTGAATTTAAAGACTGGAGATAATTGTAAAAAGAAATTGGAATACAGTTTATATATTAATTATGCTGAATTTAAGTCTGTGTGTCACAGTAAAATATTTCAAATTGTATAATCATTTCATATGTGATTTATAACTTTAACATTTTGAATGTCTTTTTAAAAGATATGAGACAAGAAGTATATTTGAAAATGTCACTGCATACCAAGAGGAAAACTTAATTTATTTTGAAACTTATCTGGGATATTAAAGAATATACCAATTCCTAGAAACACTATTCTAGATCTATACGGACCGCTCCTAAAATGATGTAAATATCAGCATTTTGTCATAATATTAAGTTTCACCATAGGAATTACAGTTGTTGAGCTGTCAGTTTAATGGTATATGAGATAACTGTTTAGAGCTAAAGCTATTTCATGATTTAATGGAAAAGTTTAATTTTAAGATATAATAACAATTCTGACTGCAGACAATTTGAATTTTTGAGGCTCTCCTAATGGGCTAATTATAGAGAAAAATTCATTTTGAAGGTATAAAACTGTGCTCCATGTCTGCCACTTGTAGCTGAACTGATACTTAAATTTTGACAAAAGAGAGAAAATACAGATTAAAATACTGAGTACTCTCAGTTTTGCAAGTGTGATACAAATTTCCTTTTTTGCATATAATACTACACAATAGAAAAATTTGGATTAGAATCCTCAAAGATAGTGAAATCACTGGCCTTTCCGAACTTATGTTTACTTGTCATCTCCTTCTCCTTGGAGGTAAATTACTTCCTTACTGGTGTTGACTTTCCATATACTCCTCTCTCCCCTATCTCACAACACACACACACACACACACACACACAGACGAAAAAGAAAACAGATTGATTATATAGGTCCTCACTGTTAGTGATTCTGAAGTGATTGCTGTCAATACATAGGTTGCACCTGAAGTGTTGGATGATACAATTTACATAAGCATTTTTGGTTGGTTTTGGTTGATAGCTTTCTTTAAACTACATCACTGAAGCTGAGATTACTAGAGATATAAATTTAAATCTTTTATTAATATTTAATTTCTGTTATATATTATTAAATTCTTATATGTGTGGGTGTTTCTTACAGGTTTGCAGGTTTTCATTTTGTTTACTTAATTGTGCAAGTTGTAAAATAGATTCTTGCATTTTCATTTTAAGAACACTTTTCTCCTTAAATTGTTCTGCAGAGATAAC